ATCAGGAGACCGAGGGCCGGCCCCGAGCAGCCGCCGCCGCCCGCCCCATCAGGCGAGGGGCAGGAGAGCCAGCGCCGCGCCCCGCCCGCCGCGGCCGGCAGGAGAACCCGGTCGTCGCCGCCGCCGCTGCACCATGAAGATCAAGGATGCCAAGAAGCCGTGTAAGGCCACGGGGCGGGGGGCGGCGGGGGTCTCCGAGGGACGGGTTTGGCAGCTGCCTGGGGAGGAGGCTCTGCTTGGTCCGTGCGACCCTTTGAAGTGAGGGTTCGAGTGATCTTACAGACCTGTGTTTGCGTTGGAAGGGCTTCTCTTTGAGTGGAAAATAATCAGGTTTTTGAGCACGGGTGCTGTTTTTAATGAAAATGGCACTTAATCAGTGTGCTAAACACCTGCACAGGCAGCTGCAGTTGCTACAGTTTTTGTTTTTAAGTGCTAATCAACTTTGACTTCTTTAGAAGGGACTATTTCTTAATATTTGGGTAAAGTCTTTCGTTAAAATATGCTGAATGCTCCCCTTTAATAAGCACAGCTGCGATAATATTTCTTACTACTTATAATTTTGGAGTACCGTATTTGTTTTGGAGGGCATAAGCATGGTTCAGACTTAGGTGAAAGCAAACAAAACGTCTAGGACTACTGGTACTTTTTTGTGGGAAGAGAGAACTGGATTGAGTGAAGTTAGTTGATGTACAAGCAGTGTTTTCTTAGTGTAGCAGGTACACAGCCGTGCAAGTCAACACACCTGTCAAACTTACACAGGTGTACCCTAGCAGAGAGGGATGTGAGTATTGCTCCACTGTTTTTATTTTGTCATCATAGGTAAAGACTTATTTTCAGGGTGAGTTACTGTATGGAAAAGATGGCTAGTCCTGAAGAGCAGGCCTACTGTTAGTCATATGACATGCCTATCTGATGAAGAGCATGCAACTAAGAGTACATTGAAAGTGTGTGTTCTAAATATGCTGTTTGAGCAGCCCAATGAGAAGAAACTCACCAAACATATATTTAATAGAGGAAGTATTAGTGTAGCTCTAGGCAGAGCTATAAACATGGAATTGAGTTTGGCTGTGAAAAGACATTTCTTGTGGTGTGTTAAGGAAATCAACCCTAAATATGCATCTTGCAGTGCGCAATTTGCCATCACCTCTTATTAGTGCAAGTGTGTGGAAATTGCTGAATTGACTCTAATCATATTTTTGAAGAATATGGTTAGACAGTATTTTTTTCCCTGGTATAATATTTAAGGAATGCTACCAAGACTCTGAACTAGTAGCTGGCTGTAAGGTGGTGTAGTGCTTGTTTGGTAATTTGGAATGGTGAGATTATGACTGCTTCTGCTGCAGAAACCTCCTAGTTTCAGGAGTGTCTTTGTAGGGCCTCAAAGACTTGTTTTCTGTAGTGGCAGACTTAAACCTCATATTTAAATAACGATGCCAATTGTTATAAAGAAGTTCTAAATGCTTAAATACGCTAAATTTGTAGTTTCACTCTTCCAGTTCTTGAACTTGAATTTTGGTTTTATGATGGGAATCAGAAACAATTGGAACTGCATAAGCAGTGAAGGGGAAGAACACAGTGTCAAACTGTTATTTATTTCATCTTGACTCTTTAGCATACTTTGAAGCCGATGGTTTTTGTTTTTTTGTTTTTTTTTTTAAAGATAACAGTACTTAGTTTCATAGGCAATGAACTTTAGACTCATTCTACAAATCTCTGCTCCTCATTAGTCACACTGATTGAGGGGGGAGAGCAGCTGAATGTTTGCAGAGGAGCAAATCCACAAAAGCACTGAAGATGGACAAGTCCATTGATGGTCGGGGGCTTTGGTGCCCAAATACTGCTGTCAATTTGGCTTATGTGCTCAAATTGACCTGAAAGCTGAGTTGGGCTCACAATGCCACTTTTAGACTGTCTAGTTAAAAATTATTTGGCTAAGACAGTTGTAGACACATTTCAGTGCGATTGCTGTTTGGTTATATGTTTCTTAAGCAAAGTCAGTATTTAATCATCTGTGTTGGAGCCAAATTTGATGCAGGGGAAAAATGGTTAATCGTTATTTAGCAAGAGGTCTTCTGTTGTAAGAGCCTACGAAGTGGAATTGAGAAGATTGCATTAGCCTACTTATAACTGTGATGTTTAGCATCATGAAAGAAAGCAGGATTGCGCCAGGTGCCATGTCCTTCATAAGAGAGGTGAGGTTAAAATGGAGACACCTAACAAGTTCAGAATTCCTCATGTGCATATACAGCCTAGACACGTTTCTGCGGTCCTCCCTTTCACATCATCACCTGGCTAGTGCTGTTGCTACTATGTTGTTGTAAAAACTGTGAGAAATGCAGCTGAATTTATGGAACGCAGCTTCTGAGATTGGCTGTCTTGAAAGAGGCTGGTAAAAGGCCATTTAGGTTTCTTTTGCAAGTGATGGGAGGTGATAGGCATTTTAAAGGAGGGTAACAGAAAATCAGAAATTAGGAAAACCTTGTACAAAGTAGTTAGTGTAGCAGGGGGGTCTGGAGTGTGGAGTGTGGAGTCTCCACCCTTGGAGGATTCTTGAAAAACTTAAGAGTTCTTCACGTCTTGGCTGGACAAAGCCGTAGCTGACTTCATCTGGTGCTGGCGATTTTCCTACTAGTGTGACTGAGAGGTTGCACTAGATGACCTCCGAGGACCCTTCCAGTCAGCAGCTGCGTGATAGCTCTTCTGAGGAAATGCCTGTGAGGAAGAATGGCTGGCAATTGTAAAAAAAACTTCCAAAGGTTATTTGGGGGGTGGAGATGACAAATGCGAAAGCAAAGAGCCTTGCAGAACTGCTGCTGTATGAGATCTGTCTAAAGGGAAGACTGAGCCAGTCATTCAGAGAGAGCTCTTTGTGTTGGCGGGGGAAGGTGAGGCACCCCAGAGTCTGTGTTTGCATTTCTGAGTGTTAGATTATGCCTCTGCGTGCTGTATCTCACTATAATAAAAACACCTATCCCCAAAGAGATTGCTGTTGAAATGTCAACAAAATTAACAGAATGAGCAAGGAGGGAGAAGATGAAAGCAGTGTTTTGCCTTGTATTAGCTTTACGTGGTATCCACTTGTAGATGTGATAAACCTAATGAAGAGCAGTTACAGTAATTGCCGATTACCACCTGTCCTCCCACTGGTAAATGTGGCCTTTCTGTGGCCTGATTAGAAATAGCTGAGTGGGAAAGCGTGGTGAGTTTAGAGTTTGATGGAGAAGTTTTCCCATGAAGGAGATGGGAGGATGTGACAGTGCGTGTCAGGTATGTTTAATTTTGGTGTTAATTCTGTCCAGCCCCAATCTATCTTGAGTTGGACTTGGGATATTTGAATGAAAAAACCTTTTACAAAACTAGTTAAGCAGAGAGACTCTACGGTATCTCAAGAGCTAAGGACACTTGATGGCAGTTTCTCTCTGTAGAGACTCATAGGCACACATCTGTGTAACGCAGGTACAGCAATGGCACTTTGCTGCCTAGCCACCAGGTTAATCCCACATTATTTAGCAGTTCAAAAACCTTTGATGTGTTTTCTCTTAACTTGTTCCATTGGACATGTTAGCTACCTTAGGCTGCTAGCTGACTTAGAGTTTACCCTTAATTTTTACTCTGCTGCATGGAGATATTTTTAGGGAAATACTGGATGTGCAAGAATGTGTGCATGTATGTAGAGGAGAATGCATTGGAGAACTGCAAGATACTTTTGGTTTAAGTTTCTGTGTTTATAAACATTAACTGTGTAATAGTTCAGTATAACCTTTACATAGTTATGTCTTGTCAGTAAGATAAGAATGGAATCAAGGTTAGTTTTATTATCAGAGGCTACATACTGAGTTGAATTAGAAGATAAGGTTTGTGCATCAAAACTGATAATACTGCATGCTTTCATGATGAGCTGTGATTTTTATTCTTTTTTTCTATGGTGCAAAGCTCCATACTTGAATTAGGAGGTGTAGCTACTCTTCTTTGAAGGTTAGTTCTTGTTAATTTAATGCAGGGTTGACCCAGGTGGTATTTTATCTTACAGTGAGAAGGAAGTATTTTAAAGGTATTTGTGTTTCAAATGTGTCATTACATTCATAGGAAAGAGCTCACCAGTAATCTGTTTCTCAGTTTTTAAAAGCTAAATACAAATAGAGCATTAAGCTGAAGAATCTTATGCTTGACTGAATAAAGGGGAAGTAGTTAAGTCTTTGAGTATGTACTTCCTGCAGCTTTGGATTCAAAACGGGTGTACAAAGTCAAAGTATTGGTATATGGTTTGGGTGGAGAACTTCGAAGGTCCTCTGCTCAGCTGAAGGAGAACCAGTAGAAAAGGAAAACATTTCAACCTTGGTGCTTATATTGGCATGAGAGACTTTTTTGCTGTAATTATTTCCTTTTGGCATATAAAGACCTTATATGATAAGATATAAGTAACCTTAGGATTGCTGCCAGAAACTATGTATGACAAGAACTTGAAAAATGAAAACACAAGGGAGTGAGGCCTCACTGTGTAGCACTGAAGAATAATTTAAAAAAACCAACCAAACAAAAAAACCAACAGCTATCAGCATGGAGTTTCTCACTTGGCAGAACTGCTACATCATTACTTTACCACAGCACCTGTGACCACACTCTTCCCGTGCAGGAAGGGCTTTTCTACATTGCAGGAAGCAGTTCTAGGGAATCTCTTAATCAACAGTATTTTTTTCGGTCCAAGCCGATTTTGTCTCAAAGCTATCTTCATGGCATGTGTGAGACAATCTGTTGCTTTACAGAAAAGGTTCGTGGTTGCTGTGTCTATGTAGGAACCACAGGGGCTCATGGCAGAGCTGGGGAGTGAAAGGAAATCTGGATTTGGAATTGAGGAGGTTGGATATTGTGATACTTCACACCAAATTCAACTATCGCATCGAACCATATGGGTTTTGACATCCCAGTTTGTGTTCTACTTTGTATATTTGTGTCTTCTCAGATAATAAGAATGCTATTTTAAATATTCTTAAATAGAGCCTGGCCTGACTTGTTAGAAGCAGAATGCATGTTTTTGAAGCGCTTTCATGTAGTCTATCCAAGGCAATTGGTCTTGTTCAGTAAAAAGCTCCATTCCTGCTTTCCTTTTTTCAAATGGCAGTTGACCTCTGCAGAGAGGAGCTGAACCTTGAAAAGACAGGGCACTAGATTTGTTTCTGTGAATAGCAGCTAAATTCTCAGTAAAGAATACTTCTGAGCTTTGCATCACTTTTTGTAGAGTCTTCCTAGGAATAAGAACAGTTATAAAGAGGAAGAGCTGAGAAAAATCTGCTAATGACCAGATCCCCGTAGAGCTGCAGAAAAAGCCCAGTTTTAATGCAGGTGCATTGACTTTTCTTATGAATTGAAGCTGTGGAATGATGGTTACAGTTGCGCAGATCCTCAAACCTGGTATCTGCAGAGCTTATAAGCTTGGAAAGAAGGTTTTGCAATTGGTATTGGTCTCATTCAGGCACTTTTCTTCAACTGTGACTGCTGTTAAGGATGGAGCTTGTATCTGGGGATATTTTTATCAAAAGATTGTGCTGCCTTTATTCTGCTCCCAAATCACTCAAAGAAGCGTGACCCGAAGATACAAGTATAAAAATACTTCTTGTAGAATCCTTTATATAGTCTTAGCCCAAGGTACGTGCCATGCTATTTTTGTCATGTTCCAAGACAGTTGCAAATACAAGACTGCTTCAGAATTAAGTTTTTCATGGATTTGAGAGACTATACCAGCTACAAATGCTGGTATATATGCTCCAGATAGCATCAGCAAGAGTGAAAACTCTCGTGCTTCAAACATGCCTCAAAGAGTAGCAACATTACCTTAAGCAGACTGCTCACATATGCGGTGTAAAGTAATGCACGGGTCCCTTTTATGACATGATACATTTAAGTAAATGTGTCATCTCTAGCCATTGCCACAATTAGCCTGGCCACCCTGTGGAGGGGAAGTCCTGTAGGAAAAGTGGGCATGCATAGTATGTTTTCTGAGTAGTACTCCATCCTGAATCTCTCTGTGGCCTTATTTTAACCCTGCAAATGAAATCACTTTTTCAGTAATTGGAAGAGGAACTGGTGTTTTCACAGGGGTTCCTGTTTTCTCTGTTCCCCCTGCATCCAGATAGGGTGGAGCCAAGATCCACCCAAAGCAAACTGATTTGAAGGCTGAATCAACAGGCGGAGAGTTCACAAAGTTTCCATGAAATCGGTGTATTTCTAGTATCTAAAGGTAGCTCAAGCATGGATAAATCTTGTATCCTTGCAGCCCCAAAATCGCAGCTACAGTTCAACTGATGTGCACTTGCCATATATACATATGTATATGCCAATCCCCTTCTGTGTTTGGAAAACAAAATGGCTTTGTTTTTCCTGGCTAGGCCTGTATGTAAATCAGTGAAGAGTGCCTAGCATATACAAGAATTCTTGTGTAATGTCTTTTTCTGGGCTGCTGGTATAAGGAGTAAGTTAATAGTACGTGGGCCCAGTTGCTTGTCAGAACTCCTCCACCTTGCGAATGAAACTTGAGCAATGTACTTACCAGCCAACTCTTGGTAAATGTTCGATAGAAAAATGTGAAACTTCTTGGAGTTTGTTGCAGAGGTGAAAACTGACCTATTTCTTCACTGTCAAAATCCTTAATTGCCCATGTGATTACTCAGTTAACCCAGAAAATGGATATTGTGCAGCTTGATCCCGTTTTTCAGCATAAAATGTGTTTTCATTTGAATTATGGAATTATCTTACATTTCAGCTCTTCTTGTTTTTTACTCAGTATACAAGCTTCATAGACCGTAAGATTTTTAGAGATGTGACTAATACTATATTTGCAAAAGCCTTTTGGATCATTTAACATGGGATGCAGTGGAGCTTCTGACAAACAGGCATGACTTGTACCAAATCTTCCTTAAGTTCATTGCTTGGACTTTCAGCTGTTTTCCCCCTCCTCCTTGTTGTGGAAGACTAGATCCTAGTTATTGAGTAAGCCCACTGAGCAGGAAGAATCCCAAGTATTTTAGGTGGCTCTTGGCCTGCTGTTTCCTATTAAATTCTGAATGGGTTGGATTGACTCCTGCAGACACTTTCTGGTCTGCTGGGTGAATCAACTTCCCTTCTTTGGTTTTGGTTTTGTGATATTGTTTACGGTAAGTGGGTGAAACTTGGTGAGATCACTTAATAAATCATGTGTAAATAGAGTTGCTCACTTTTCCATTTTTACCTGCAGTCAGAGGGATATTTAAGATCATGTAATGGAAATGAGTACTAATGCTTTGCCTCCTGTGGGATTTTTGTTAATGTCTGCCTTGTTGTAAAGTATAGCAAAACCTGCTATACTTAAGTGTATTGTTTTGGCTCTTTAACAAAACTAATCAATCAATTATTATATTTTCACAGCTTTTCCATGGTTTGGCATGGACATTGGGGGAACTTTGGTCAAACTTGCATATTTTGAACCTATTGACATCACTGCAGAGGAGGAGCAGGAAGAAGTTGAAAGCTTGAAGAGCATCCGCAAATATCTGACTTCCAATGTAGCCTATGGATCCACTGGCATTCGAGATGTCCACCTGGAGCTGAAAGACTTGACGATTTTTTCTCGAAGAGGAAACTTGCACTTTATTAGATTCCCGACTCATGATTTGCCTACTTTTATCCAAATGGGAAGAAATAAAAACTTTTCAACACTACATACGGTGCTCTGTGCCACCGGTGGTGGCGCTTACAAGTTTGAAGAAGACTTTCGCACAGTAGGTAGCCTATCTGTCCTCATGCTGAAGCTGGTGCTAAAAGCATTTCTGATGATGGGTTAAAACAGGCAGTGTTTTGAAAAACTGTGGAATGCTCAAAGATTATTAATTATTCATTTTTTTGAGTCATAACCTAGAAATATGCTTTCTGACATCATCATAGTAAACATGAAGGTCTAATGCCAACAGCTAATTAGAAAATTCTACTAATGCAGTGAAATGCAGGACATCTTTGTGGAAGTTAACCATTTTCTAATATATATGTTCTCTGGTGGGAAATGTACTTAAATTGCAGAGGTGCTTGAGTAATTTTGGATTTTCTTTCCTAAGCCGTCTTTGGTAATAGGTCTTCAATGGTTGTGGGTGGGATTATCCTCATTAATTTAGTCCAGTGCATTGTTTAGACATCTGTGACAAAACACATATCTCAAAGAGAGTCTTTTTTTCAACTGCAGAGCGGTTTGGGGTTTTCCGGAGGTGTTTTGACTCTTCCCTTGACAATCAAAATTGATCATTTGTTTAGATGCAGTTTCTGTCTGAAGATAGTTGTTACTAAGTGAGAATCACCACAGTATCCAGTGTGCACATGTCCTAATATTAAAGTGGCTACAGACCTCTCGTGATTCTAGAGACAAGAAGACTTCCAATAGCACAAAATGTTTTGTTTCAAAAATCTGCTTGAATTTCCATTCTTGTACCAGTCTTGTGTTGAGCTGGTACAGCTGTTTGTGGAGTAGGGTCACAATTTTTACAGCAGAACTAATTCATTATATAAAAACCCCACAGAAGTATTTTATGGTGGAACAGTTCCCTGATCCGCTGAATGGTAAAGCTTCACAGTCATGCCATGGCAAAAAAAGCTGAAAGGACCTGGGGGAAGAGGAGGGGACTGGCAATGCTGGGATTTGGTGCTGGTGTCAGTCAGCAGTGTGCAATCTGGACTGATCCTGCAAGTTCCTAATCTAACTGCAGGCTGCTTTCTAAGTGTGAGCTCATCTGATCGAGAGAAAGTTTCTGGGTGTTTTTTTTTTTTTTTTCTTCTTGGATTAGCTGCCTAATTGGACGCTCGTAACTGTTGGAACTCCCAGCTGCGGTAAGGGAGAGAGCATGATCACTGTTGTGGAAGCCCAGAGTTAAATGGGATTAAGTGTGGTGTGAAATTACAGCCTTTCTGGAATCCACAGCACCTGTGACATTCTTTCTGCTTTATGAGAGAGAAGCAGCTTAAATGTCATGTGCAAAACTGAGGAAGAACAGTAATGAGCCTAAAGCATCATGGAGTTTCTGACCTGTGGTTTTCTTACGATCTTTGAAGTGTTAATAAAGTTGCAAGGGTAGTTAGTACGATGCCATTGAGCTTTTTATCTTAGGTTTTCATCTGCTGACATCTTAGAAATGGCTGTTTGACTTGTAAGGGGGGGGAGGAAACCCACAAACCTTGAAGAGATGTGCAGATATGTGAGTTTCACCAAGATGACGCTCAATAGGGCCTCTAGGGTACTTGGTGACCTCTTTATGATTTAGATTGATGAAAAATGTTGCTGATTTCTCATTGGATTAATTGTCTGAGTAACTCAAAAGTAACTTTTGGGCTCAACAAAGGAGATATTCGTACTGCCTGTCTATTCTTCATTCAGGAACCTCAGAAAAAGGTGAATTACATTTTTCATTGGCTTTATAGTGGGATTAAAGTTCCTGAATTAGTCGTGTGAGAGAGCTTCTTGAAGTTAGGCAGTACAAACATACTGATAAATTTGTAGCGTGTTTAAGCAATGTTAGAACATGTTGACACTGGCTTTTTTCTTTTTTAACACAGATTGGAAACCTCCAGCTGCACAAACTGGATGAGCTTGACTGCCTTGTCAAAGGCTTATTGTATATAGACTCTGTCAGCTTCAACGGCCAGGCAGAGTGCTATTATTTTGAAAATGCCTCAGATCCTGAGAGATGCCAAAAGATGCCTTTTAACCTGGATGATCCATACCCGTTGCTGGTTGTTAACATTGGTTCAGGAGTCAGTATTTTATCAGTTCATTCCAAAGACAACTATAAAAGAGTAACTGGAACAAGGTAACTTAAAAACCTAAGTTGGGGTTGGTATTCTATGGAACAATGAGCTTTCTGTTTGTAAAGTGGTTCCTTTCCCTGACTCCCCCTGCCTATCCCTTCCCTCATTCTGTAATACAGAAAAGTATTTTATCTTTAATTTACAGCTGCATTCATTTAAACCCCCTGTAGTTCTGTTACTGAGAAGATTTAGCCAGTATCTTCTTTATCAGTCAATGAGTGCTAGAAGTGCTCTGGTAGTGAGTGTTTTATAGTTTTTGTCTTAGCTTTTGATAATGTATCCAGTGATCTTTGTTTCTCTTGCTCTAAAAGAATAAATATGTTCACATGTTGTACAGAATGATCAAGGATCAGAGTCCATGGCTTGATGTGGGTATTTAGGGAGTTCTAGTCTCTGAATTTTGAGAGTTTATTTGTTAGCTCTTACTATGTGGTTAGCTTCTTGTAAGTGACGTATAAATGTTAATTTGATTGACAACTATTTGTGTAGTGAACCTTGAGCAAGAAAGCAGACAGCTCGGTGTCTAAGTTGGAGGACTTTATTTAATTTTTTTGGTCAGACATAAGAATCTTTGATGTGAGGAAATACTATTTAAAAGCAACTAGTTTTCTTTCTTAGTCTAGGCGGAGGGACCTTTCTTGGTTTATGCAGTTTGTTGACGGGCTGTGAAAGTTTTGAAGAAGCTCTGGAAATGGCCTCCAAAGGAGACAGCACACATGCTGATAAGCTGGTTCGAGATATTTATGGAGGAGACTATGAAAGATTCGGCTTGCCAGGATGGGCTGTAGCATCCAGGTAAGCAAGACATCTTTTTGATGGTTTGTTTGCTAGTTTGGGGGGCTTCAAAAGCAAGACTGAAACTATTAATGCAGATAAAACTACTTTTTCCAAACTTTTCTTGTAGTCAAGTTATGATTTAATTCTGAAAGTATATATACTCAGTTTTCCTGAAGATTTGAAGCCACCTGCAACTGCAGGTGGCTGTTAGCTGGGTATTGAAGAAGCCTCATGTGATATGTCATACACAGCGTTACGTGAGTCGGGGAGAATGTGAGGAGATTACAGGAGTGGTAATAACAAAGTGCAGAGAAAAAGCAAAGCAGATTACTTCTTGACTTCCTAGAATCTTTTAGTGGGGCTGCTGTCCAGAGGGGAGGTGAGTGGAAGAAGGCATTTTTGTTGCTCTTGCAGTAGTATCTCTTTTTTTTTTTTTTTTAAGACTCTGTTTTTTATTGATATATGAGTGTAAGTACAGGCACCTGGCATAATGTTTCCGCTACTTTTCTCACTTATGAAAGCTGTTGAACATAAACGCTTTGCACCATGAAAATGAATGTATTTTACTGCCAATTACAGGGTTTTTTTGTCATAGCTGTAAGTTTTATTTCCATTGCGGAAGATAATTGGTGATGTTACAGCTTCTCTACCCTTAAGGAATGTAAGAAGAATAAACTTTTGGAGTGTGAAACCAATGTGTATGTAAGAGAGTTCATTAAATCTTTGCTCTTACTCAGTAGTAAGAGATCTTAATTCACAGTAACTTAATTCTTCTCCCTTTCCAGCCAGCTGAGTCCAAGCCTCTTCAGAGGGCATATGCTGAGAGGTTTTAATATGTGTAAACTTCATGGTTCTAGTCAATACATCTTAATTTGCTGTGTATATAGGTACTTTTTGTTCCCATTTACTTTTTAAGCCCCTTAGGATCTGTAATGACTATTTCAGTTACAGAATAAGCAGCATTCTGTCTCTCCTAACTGACTTAGTTGTTGCAGAGTCCTTAGTGGTAAAATACCATGCATAGCTATGGATTCTTGTCTTATTTTTTCTTTTTTATATAATTTGTAAGAAAAGATCTACTATGTATTGTAATGGAAGGGTCCTTCTAACCTAGAATTTTTCATTTATACAACCTAAGTTGTATAGGTTGTTTTTGATGGTTCTTTTGCAAGTAGCAGTCTGTCAGCTGTTTGTTTTCTCTTTGAGTATTGCATTGTGTCATGAAATCATTCAGCTCATCTCCCTTTTAGTTCTACTTTGAGAATAGAGGATTGAATAGATCGTGTGAGTGAGGAAGCAAGCATGAGGAGTCAGAGGATTGATTGACCAGTCAGACTTAGGCATTGACTTAACTTAGTGACTAGATTTCCAGAGTAGTCTTGCCTAAGAATAAGACTACTTTTTGTTGTAGATGCCTCATGAAAATCAACAATCCAAACAGAAATATTTTGTTGGGAGTCATTATTGGAACAATATTGAGTGTTTGCTGTGAAGGAATAAATAACACATCGTACTGTCAGTTGTCAAATTGCTGTATTTAATACAGACTTAAAAAGGGAGCTCCTTAAGAACAAACATGAGACTTACATTAGCATAAAAAAATTAGCATAAAAATCACTTCTGGAATTACTTCAAATGCCCATGAATGAACTTTGTACTGAATGCAAATTTTTCCTTTTATAGTTTTGGGAATATGATCTACAAAGAGAAGAGAGAGTCTGTTAGTAAAGAAGATCTTGCAAGAGCCATATTGGTCACCATCACCAATAACATTGGGTCTATTGCCCGGATGTGTGCAGTAAATGAGGTAAAAACTTCTGACGAGGAAATGATCTATCTATAGGTCTATTATTTGGTTTCAGATTAAACGACTGCTGAAATGCTGTATCATTTTAAACCTTTTAGTATGTTCTCAAATGAAATTAAGAAATTCAGGTAGTATTACAGAATTGGTTCAGAATATTTTGACACTCTTTGGAGAAGTGTGGCAGTAACCCGATGAAGAGGTCTTCAAACTAGCTTTGTTAAGGAATGGAGCCCAAAGCCTGCAGGTAAGTGAGGGAGCAAGGGACCACAGGATGTTGTGATGAAATGACTTGAAGTCCCCCTGTGAAAACAGGACAGTTGTGGGCCCAACTGAGGTCTGTACACAAACACATGCCTCATGGGATACAAGAGAATCTTTAAGCTCCGGTTCTCAGGAGGAACTATCTCAACCTCTATTGGAAGGGTAACATGGCAGATCACAAGCAATCCATGCTCCACAGTATACCGGGGACAATTTTCTGACAGAAGGGCTAGGCAGGCTGACTAGAGGAGGTGATACTTTGGGCATGACTATTTTTTTCCTTCCTCCCCAACTACCACCATCACAAAAGAGCAGTGTTGACAAATGAGGTCAAGTAACAGACGGGTTACAGAGACAGGGCACTGCCTGGAGTGCCTAACGTATGAAAAGACACTGAGGGATCTGGGCTAAGCCTGAAGAAGCAGCTGAAGCAGTCTGAGTTTGAGGCAAATGTGTGCAAAAGGGTTGGGTAAATGAATAAAATCAGAACTCATAAACAGCACAAATTAACTTTATTCCAAGGGGGTTTTTGTTCTAATTCCAACTATGTGACAGAACTCCAGATGGTAAGAAACAGTTAATAGGGATCCACAAGCTAATATCTTGAACTGATGTATAGAGATAAAATGGATTTAATTATTTTGGCATCCTGCTGTAGAGCAGAACTGCATTTGATTGGGTGACTTAATAGTGTGTTTATTTTGTCTTCCCTGTGAAGTAATCAAGATGGTGAAAAACAGTTGCACATTAGTCAGTTGAATACAGGTTGAATTGTCATAGTAGTTCTGGTAGCAACTTGGATATGAGTACATAATTAAGCACTTATTTAAGCACTATGTTAAGCACTAACACAATTAAATTTTTTTTGGTTCTTACTCTCATATCGTTAAGTCAGTATTTAATGTTGCTTTCATATTGGATATATTGCAGTGAATGGGGAAATTGAACAATTTTAACTTTTTTTTACATTTTACTTGATTAGAATTCACAGCTCGCTTCTAGAATTTGAGTCTTAGTCTAATCTTATACTGAGGTATATTGAGGTCTGAAGATGAAAGGAACATCTGTTATGTCTTACTGTCTTCGGCTTCTTTACAGTGCTGCCTTGTTGCATATGGATCAAGCAGCATTGTACAGGGCTATGAAGGCATTGAGTCTTCTCTACCAAATATAAGTAATTTTGAATATAAGTATTTTTCATTTGATTTCACTTTTAGCTGGACTGTTCTTTTAGTTTAGTTAAAATGCTCACTTAATTTAAAACACAAATGCTACTTCTCTGTAAATTAAGTCCTTTAATTCTTGAGGTTGCATGTTTTGTTTTTTTTTTCCCTAAGTATGCTGTGTTTTAAATTTTGGAACCATGTTTTAATTGTGGTTTGTTTGGGTTTTTGTGGGTTTTTTTCCTTGCTCGAGACAGTCTGTTCTTTCATAGCTTAATTTAAGCGGTGTTAAACAGTGAAAAGACTTAATCCTTTGCTGTTTTTCTCTTCTTAGAAAATAAACAGAGTTGTGTTTGTTGGCAATTTTTTACGTGTGAATACTTTGTCAATGAAGCTTCTTGCATATGCACTGGATTACTGGTCAAAAGGCCAGCTGAAGGCCTTGTTCCTAGAACATGAGGTATGCTGTGGTTCATTTATCTCTATGTATTGTTTTACCATAAATCAAAAATGCACGTATTGAGTAGCTGTCATATGGGTGATAACCTGAGACACCAAGTATTCAGTAAACATTGAAAATAGGAGGAGGAGGTTTCTCATACTGTATTGATTCTCTGGGGCATCTTTCTCTGCTAGGGAGTACTTCAGTCGCTTTGGGGTATCTCGGTTCACACTACAGATTTTTGGAGGGGGACAAGAAAATGTTAAGCTCTGTGCTAAGGTTTAACAGTCTTACTTTGGGTTTGAGTGGCAACAGTAGTAAGGATCAGTATGTAATGCTGAGAGAGTTGACCCGTTTTGGTTAAATCTAGGCAACCAGTATTAATTACAGGTGTAATAGTTGAAAGACTTGTAGCTTCCTGACAGTGAGCTGGCAATTTTTGCCCTCAGTTTGTTTGTCTGCAAATATTACAGCATTACATCTATTCCCCTTCAACTGATTCTCACAACTGAGACAGACAGTAGTGTGTCTTGGTGCTAATGTCAGCAGTAATAGCAGAATGATTCCTTATTAGTTCAACCACCTTCAAATTTTTCTTGGATAAATTTTAAATTCTTGCATTTGGTCAAGTGTAGATTCCAAAGACTTCTATATTTCACAGTTATAGGGAAGAGGAACATCTTGTTTCCCCAGAGGGGAAAAGTAATCCAACAGGAGAAGGTATTTTTTTTGTATGCAGGCAAGTATACAGTCCAAATAATGGTGTTGAAGCTTGGACACAATTCTTAAAAAAGCATGAGGTGCAGTTAAAGACATTTTTGACTTGTACCTTAGGAATAGTGTTGCTATTATCGATATTGAAGATCCTTTGGCAACCAGCTCCTGTAGGAAAACCAAACCAAACCTGAATTGCTTGCTTTAGGAATCACTGGCACATGTCTTAGAAGTTCTGCAGTGTATGGGGGGGGATTCCTGGGGTGAAATCTCCTAAAGTTAAGCTAGATAAGGATAAAATGTTTGTTTCATAAAGCTTAAAAAAATTATTATGAAAGATTGTATATTGAAAATGTATGGTGTAGCATTGGTCCACCAAATGCTTTGTTGTCATTGAAATGTGATTTATGCAGATTTTAATACCCTACTTGAACCTGAAATATTTTTTTGTTTGTTTTGAACAGGGTTACTTTGGAGCCGTTGGTGCTCTTCTTGGGCTGCCAAATTTCAGTTGAGATACCAGATGTCGCTGCACTGAACTATTTTCCACCTGAATTATACTTGTTTATGGCAATGGGTACTAAATCTGGGGAGGGGAGAAAAAAATAGCAGATTTTCTGTAACTGTTCATAAGAAGTGATGAGCTACTGAATATTGCCGTTATAAGGAAGGGGGGTTCATTCTGTTGGGCATTGAAAAATGAAATGTGTGGGGATGTCGTTTGTGTTTTTTGGTACTTGTAGCCAGTACTGAACTTCTAATATGCAATACATCCTCTGAAACAAGCTTCCAGAAGAAGGAATACCAATCCACGAAGTGCTCAGTGTGTAAATATTGCAAGTTTACCCCTGAGGCTTTAGGCCGATCAGTTTTGTATATAATTGATGAATGAAAAATTATTTTCATTAGTTATACTGTATTACGAGCACAATTTCCCATGCGTACTTACAGATAACTTTAAAAACAGTAAGGTACTATCTACAGGATGAGGAAACTGTAGACAATTGCTTCCCACAGTAAGAATAGTAATTATTTTTATGTGTAATGGAAATAATATTAATGCTTTAATTTTCCATGGGAAGATTAGAAACACAAAAAATCAGCCAAAGCAGCAGATTAAGCAGTTGATGTTTTTGAAGGTTTTGTGAAGCTATTCACTTGCCCTCTTCATGTATTTGAAGATGTAGCTGGTATTTTGGGAAGATCCCCTCTGCCTTTGGCTGGGTTTGGAAAATCACTTAATGGTTAATGAAAGCAGGTTTTGAGGGATGGGATTTTTTTCTGAGGACATGACTTCCAAAATGCCTTCTGGGTTTTTTTTTGTCTCTCTAATAAATTCTGATATTATGTATCATTATTTGTAAAGGCACCACAAAGCCTGAGAGAATTGAAGAAATCCTTATAAAATAGATTAAATATGGGACCTCATAATTCTGATGCTTTGGCTCATTTCTGTGGGAAAATTTCTTCCCTATCCTATTAATTTGAAAATGTGATTCTCCTTAGTTTTGTAAGAGTTCATCAGACCCTAATTAGATGTTGAAAATAAAAAGGTTTTAGCTTGCTTTTGAATTTGGAAGTTTGTTTTTGATAATTAAGGACAGCATCAGAGTTTGTATTGCAGCACCAAATGGACCAATATTTAGCACACTTGCAATATGGAACCGTTCATCAAATTGTGGCCTTGGGATAAGATCCGTACTCTAGAACTGATCTTTGGATTTTTCTGTATACTTTTGAAATTTATAGTTCTGATTATTAAAACAAGTTTAGCCCTGGAGCCAGGGCATGTGATCTTAAACTTCTAAGAATATTATACAGTCATTAGCTATATGACTCTTTGTGGACTAAAGAGCTACCCACTTTTATGATATCATTTTAATGTTAAATATTTCCTATAAGCGCATGGGGAGCAGCCAGACTAGAACACATTCATATGTTGGGTTTTAAGGTGTTTTTAAAACTGATTGCTTGGGTATTCCAGAGCATGGCTGTGTTATATTCACAAATGCATCCACCTAGCGCGTTATAAACATCTATGTGCTATTTTCAGTCTTCTCTGCTTATCTTAAAATTAAAAGCCCCATACTAACATCATATGGGTTCGTTGGTTGGTTGTTTTTTTTTTTATTTTTTCTGTGTTCCTTTAAGAGTACATAACTCAGAGTAGCCAATTCATTAAGCCCAATGTTAATGACAAATGCAGTTCCATTTATTGCTGTTTTTCGTGGTACTCATACTGTATTTCCATTGTGCTTGCTTTGATGTTTAATTGTAGACATAAAAAAAAAACCCGAACAAAAATGACAGTGACAGTTGAACCAATCTGATGCTAAATCAGAGCATTTCAAGAAAGTAACTAAATATGGGTTTTATGGAACATCTTTATAAATGTATAATGAAATGTATAAATGAACAGCTGTATGCTGTTCCCTTTTAAGTTACAATTGACTATAGAAAGTAACCTTTATTTGGTTATAAAACTTTGCAAAAACTTTTTTCTGAATGTTTTGACAGCCTCCTGAAAATTTTGGAAACCAACTGCAAATTTTTCTTGCAAAGTGAGGTACTTTAAGACATGTACTACAGCTTGATTAGAAACAGTTCCTTTAGACTATATTTATTCCTACTTCTCATTTTCTGATACTGAAAGAGAGCTACTCTTGAAGCAGTAGCTGGAAGTTACCTGTATATTTAACCAGAAGCACATGTAGAAATTGATTACGTAATGACCATGGTTAATTTAAACCATTTGGAGTTGATATGACCTACAATACATTTTTAAAGTAAATTGTACAGAGTTACAGAATAAATTAATGGAGTAATTCTTGAATTGCTGTACTGTATAGAAACTACTGTGAGAATCAAAAAGTATGCCCTACCTCTACTTTACTTCCCTTGACCTTCTACAAAAAGATTGACTTCCTTTTGCTAGTTTTATCACCACAATTGTTACTTTGCAAGAGCAAGCAGAGAAGTTTTCAAGCCCTACTGTAAAGCCCAGGGGTCCTGTATTTAAGCAACATCTTTGGGTTTCATCTCTTTTTCTCTCAACTTAGAACTTGTTACTAGGGTCTCCAAAGTTTGACTCTACCATCAGTAGAAGTGCTAGTCATCACAAACAGCTGCAAGATAAGCCTTAAAGTCTTTTCTTCTGATTTCTCTTCTAAATATGTTGAAAAGGCTTGTTTCTTTTATACAAATCACTAGAACTAAGTTGCTTTTTCCTGATCATCTGTTTTTACTTTCACACTTGCCATTTCTTTTCCTCAAAGCTAACTGATTGAAGCGATTTAGAGTGAATTGAATCAAGGTAGAGTAGCAAAAATTTGGGGTTTTCTCAGGGCTACTGTTGTCTGCTCAAGTGGAACGACTTCTAGAGGAAAGTTGTGAGATTTCTTCTTCTAAAGTAAAGCTCATTTTGAATGTGTAATTGTTTTCAGCTCAATCAGACATGTGAGTGCCTTTTAATTTTTTCGTATAATGCCAATTTTGCTGGTACTGGGACTTCATTCAAGAGGTTTCCTAAGCAGTGTTGCTTACAAGAGAAATGGCAGATAATTTTATTTGCAGTGGAAGCAATCCCTTCAATCCAGTGTAGCTAGAGATGCCAGGGAAACAGCATCAGGTTTCTGGCTTCCTATCCCTCTAGCCCTTATTTTGGGATAATGCTTTTGCATTTCATGGTCTCATCCCTCCAGCTTGCTCTTCTTAAGTATTACGCACAGTTTTATTCTGTCAGCATCTCCCTAAAAATAGTGCAGGATTTTAGTCAGATAAGTACAGACTATTTCCGGCCAAAGAAGTTCATTTTTAGATGAAGCTATTCCAAGTTGATATGGTTATTGGACTTAACCACTTTCGCCTTTCTAAATCTAGTAGGGTATCCACAATTTGAATGAGAAGGGAACAACTAATACAGTTAATTTTGAATATTTAGCAAGCTGGAATCAACACATCTTCAGTGTTCTTTTCTGAGGCTAGCAGAGGTTTAAGTATCAACATTTTTTCATTCTTTCAGTAAAGCCTCAATAAATTGAACAGTTGGGAAAGAAGCAGCACTGATAGACTTCCTTTGTCTTGCAGTTTGGTCCAGATTTTCAAAGGGCGTTCAGGTGTCTGACCTGCCTTTTGAAGATCTTTCCGTATCTCTCTGTAGCGTCCTGCAAGCAAGAACCTGTGTGATTCTACCAACACCTCCATTCATAATTTAAGAGTTACAGCGTGGAAAAATTGGAGACCATGCTGTCAGCCTGTATATATAGAATAAAAGTTTGGTTCTGGCTTCTCATAATGGATTAAACATTCCTTCAGTAGTACTGTGAGATTTCTGCTTGCATTTGACTTGTTGGTAGTATACATGCAAGGTGATTATATTGCCTTTAAAGGTTGTAATACTAACTCTTTGTCCAGTATATGTCTGCAGGAAATACCTACTTCCAGATAAGTTGCAATAACTTCTCATTTCTAAATGTTTCAGAATAAGTTGGAACTAATTAAAGTGTCTTCTATCGAGAGCAAATCTGTGCATCTTAAAGACTAGTTGGTGTCTTAGCATTCAGTCATTAACTTATGTTAATACCTAAATTTACATTCAACCTATTTTAAAATACCACTTTCACTATTCACGTTCTGGATACTAGGTGGTTTTAATCCTGAGGAAACAGTTTTGCTGAGTTCAGAGCAGAGATGAAGGTCGGTGCAGTTCCGCTGAGCTAGTTGTGGTCAGCTTTGTATCCTGAGTCCATTTGCACACAGAATGAGAATAGTTTTTTCCAAGTGACGGAGCTTTCTACATTTTTTTTTTAATATGTTAAAGAGTTTTGCTTATGTTACAAAGTGAAAAATCTGTGGGTCAGCTTAGAAGTATTTGACCAAGGCCTCTAGGTCGCAGTGCAGAGCTAGGAACACACTCAACACGTACAGTTAATGTTTTGTTGTATTAATTTTTCCATTTCCCATGAACACACATGAGAGGGGGCAAACTTAACAATCATTGCAGATAAAATGCATGAATTAAGTCATCAGATGTGACCGTGGGAGATAGAAAAAATGCTTTTAAGAGGGATAATTCCCTGCTTACAGTCTTTTAAGTTTTACTGATATATTCCAAAGTACATTGCCAGTATTCTGTCATCTGTGATAAAATTACTAATTGTTTTTAACAAGTCTACAAAGAAGCCTGTTTTATTAGTTTTGTTTTCTTATACATATTAAGTATTCTTAAAAGCATACGTTCTGAAAAAAACATCTCAAAAGATGCTGTAATATATTTGTAATTATTAATGTGCTAATGGAATATGGTTGAGCAGTCTAGGTTTGCATAACTGAGTGCCAAATCCTGCCCACTTTAGTTACATGAGTAGATCATTCTCTTAAACAGAGACTGTTTTAAACTAAGGAGCAAGATTTGGCCTCGAGGTCTTCTGCCTGGGGAACACAGTAATGCTACTTTGCATATTCCTGCTGGTGCTAAATCATTTGTTGAAAATAAAGATTCTAAATAGAAATTGTAAATAAAATATTTATGGCCTTGTCCTTTTGACAGACTTAATCATTTGCAAATATTTTTTGGCCTTATTTCAAGTTTCCCTTTTGGTTTTTTTAGAGTATGTGGACTGTGTTTGTTAATGTGGCAAGTCATTGGCAGGTTTGGCTTCCTGTGCTGCTTTCTGTAAGGCCCGTAACATTCCCCTTGTGCATTATAATATGGATGACTTTTCAGTGCTGATTTCAGTGTTGTCCTTCATCTTGTTTTGTCATTGTAGCTGTTTAAACAAATAGTATGAAGTAGAACACAATTGGCATTTGTTCTCTAATAAAACTTTGAGAAAATCAGCCATTACTGTAAGCATTTGGAGAAGTTGTTGAAAATGCAAAAATGCCGATTTTAAATAATTTTAAAACCTAAATGTGTTCATTTGCCTTGCATATAAAATAAACTGGAATATGGTGTATCAGTTGCTAATCTTTGCTATAAATTGCTAACATTTCACAATTCTTCTAACATCAATTTAAGAACATTGTAAATGCAAGCTTTGGGAGGAGGTATATTAGTTTCAGATTGTGCATTATAAAATAATTTAATTATAAGACTAGCAAATTAGTATTTTGAGACCTATATGTCGTAATTCATTATAACATGAAAATTAGTCTGTTGATGTTATAGAGATAGGATATAGAGGGCTTCTGATAATCTGCACTTTTTTTACATTCCTGAGTTTTGGCATTTTAACAAACGAGTATTTAATTTTCCATCTACTGTCTTGTCATATGCAGGCCTTCTAATCACCGGTTGCTGTCTTCAAATACTTGTTTTAGTTAGTTAGCAAAATGGACAGGCAAACTTATAAATTGTAAACCCTTGTAGAATGGAAGTTCTCCGAAGAGCCATTTGGTTAAGTTGCCTTATTCTATTACATTGCACTCATGTTTTGTCTCTACTTTCTTGTTTACTGTTCAGACACTGAAGTTGTGATGTAAAAATATGTGCTACAAATTTTTATTCATAAGTTACTGAATAATACCTTTGTCACCTGTTAATACAGCTCTTGTAAATGATAACTTTATGCCATCTGTAATACAGCTCTTGTAAATTGTTTAAATTATTTTTCTTTTTATAGATTCTCATTGCTGAATGTACAGATTGGATCCCTTTAATATGTCACTGAATAATTTGATTGGGGCCCAAATATAGCCAATGCTGTAATTCATCCCATCAAAACTGTAAATAATTCTTTACTGCTTGTTTGCATGAATGAAATTTGGATTTCATTTACGATGTCATAACCCAACTCCTCTGTGATGGGCCTACTTTTTACTGTTTATTTTCCTGGTTTTATTACCATTTGTTCTCTATGAATGTTGAAACAGTACTTTGTCTTTTCCTAATAAATAATTTGAAATTGTTCATTGTTTTGCCTACATCTGTGGGTTTTGGGGTGGGATTTCTGGGTGTGATTTTTTTTTTTTTCCTTTATTGATAGATACTTGATACTGGGGCTGTGGGGTAACATTTTATAGTAGGGAAACTACTGATATGGTTTTCATGCTCTTTTCTTCACAGTTCTTAGATTTAGGTCCTGTTTTTAAAAACGTGATGTCCTAAAGAACACTAGTTTTGCAGCTTTGAAGTAAAAAGTACATTGTGAAGCTGGTGTAGGCTTTTGCCTTCCAAATTAACTTGAGAGCACATGCTGATTCGTGCACACAGGTGACTGACTGGTATTTTCCTGTTGAGTAAAATACTTAATGTATAAATAGTGTGTTATATATAAATTGCAATTACTACTCTGTTGAAATTGTTCTTTGCTTATGTTTTGGAAAAGCCAAATTTGAAGTTGTTCTGACTGGGTGTCTAAGGGGCAGGAAGCTGTCAGGAATGGAGTCTGTGCCGCAGCAGTGTGCTGGCAGTGCACCTTGTGAGGAGCTCGCTCTGTCTGAGGCTGTTCTTCAGGGTTCACTGTATGAATAAGTCAGCCATCCAAACTACACATCTTCACCTGGACTGCCAAAAATTAAACCCTAAAAATTCCATTCTGTGTGGCATCTCCATTGAGTCTGGCAGAGGGGAGCTCTGCACCAGTGATTCTTTTTACCTGGGGGAAATGAGCTTACAAGAAGTACAAATTCCTTTTACAAGTTTATGTGGTGTTGATTTGTTTGGTTTGCCATTTTTTTTTAAAGTGGAAATATCTCTGAGTGAGCGATAGTAGTTTTTTGTTGAAGCTGGTTTTTGTTTCTGCTGGTGTCCTTAACTACTACTGGGTGCAGCCTGGGTGCACGCTCAGGAGACATGGTTAGCTGTTTGAGTGTCATTTAGTTCTGTCTTATCTGTTCTGATAAGTGGTTCTGATTAAAAATAAAGTTAGTATGAAACAAGTTATTTCCCCTCACTGTAAGACTATCCAGCCAGCTGTATTTGAATTTTTTTTGGACTCAGAAATGCAAACCTTTAATAATCCTTGTAAGGGAAATGATGAGAGTAGCTGACAGAGAAGCTTTTGGCCATGGTTTATTGCAGCATTCTGCTTTGTTCTTCTTTATGTAATTATAAAGGAAATTTACATGTCATTTCTTTGCCCTGAAACAGCCTACGCGTTGAGCAATGACTAGAGGAAGTGTTCTAGCAGATTTTTGCATGATGAAACCCGAAAGGAAGAGGGATCCAAAATGACAGCATATTTCAAGCAGATGCTAAAATACATTCATTCAACTGGGGGGGAAGAAACGCAAAAACAGAGTGAAGATTGATAGCCAAACTCCAGACTCTGCAAGTCCTGGAAGGTAAAGGGCCTGCAGCCCATGTGATTTTAAGGCCAAGTAAGCACCTGAGAAATTACTTGCGAATTAAATTATGAGTAGTTTTTGTACTGCTTGTCATAGCCCTTTGAGTCTGGTTGTTCAGCCAGTCTTCCATCTACTGTATTTTCTTCTTATTCACTCTCTATTTCACCAATTTGGCTCTAAGTTAACTGTGAGAGATGATGTCAAAGGCCTTGCTGAAGTCAGGGTAGGCAACATCTGATGCTCCTCCGATAGCTATGGAGTCAGCCACCACAGAAAGCTGTCGGGCATGATTTTCCCTTGGTAAAGCCATGCTGTTCTGATCGCTGCTGTGTCTTTTGTGTGCCTGGATGTGTCTTCCAGTCAGGCTCTGGCTCTGTGGCCTTCCCGGGCACTGGGGTGAGGCTGACCGCCCTGTAGCACCCCACAAACGCCTTCTTGAGGATAGGTGCAACATTTGCGCCTCTTCCACCATCAGGAACCTTCCTTGGTGGCCACGATCTGCCAGTGATCAGCTCCATCCTCACCCTCAGATGGAGCTTGTCTGGTCTCAGGGCATCACATGTGCCCAGCCAGCTCCAGGGCTCCTTAACCGTTTTCCTCTCCCATGGAGAATGCCTTGGTCCCACCACTTCTGCTCTTAGGCTCAAGGAGCTGAAAGCCTGAGGGCAGACCTTAGAAGTGAGAACCTGAGGCCATAGCCTTTTCTGTGTCTTTTATTACTAGGGACCACAGGGTGGTTTTGTTGAATGAGACCAATATGTCGAGGTGTGGCATATCAAGGCAAATGGCTCTAAGTTTTGGGCAGGGGCTGTCTGTCAGAGGCTGGTGGCAGCAGAGAAGTGCCAGCCTGGAAGCAGCAAGGGAGCGGGTGTTTCTAGCAAGGGAATGCAAGGAGGAGGTGCTTGGCACAGTAGATGTGGAGATCTTATACCCAGATCCGTGGCGTTAGGGATATAGGGGAGAGAGGCGTCACTGGAGGAATTGGCTGCAGCAAATGAAGTTCACTGCTTTTAAGAAGAACTCAAAGTTGGTGTCATTGACCTGGCAGCAATGCTAGCTGTTAACCCCAGAGCTGATGTCATCTGCAGTATTTGACTTCGTTCTGAGTTTACAGCCCCTTATCATTTTTCTGTTATGATCAATTTATTGTAGCTTATCACTTCAATTCCCCAGCAAGGTCCTGCCAGAGGCCATGTGTCCCTACAGTCCTCTCAAGACAACAGGAACCAGAGCATTCTGCATTTTCTCATAATGGGTAGATATACCTCTTTCCAGGACAATCACCCACCTGTCCATAACTTTTCTTACTAGAAAGAACATTTAGTTTCAGCATTTCAGGCTGATGGATGTACTGGAGAAGCGTGACCTTTTCTAGGAGGAAGTTGAGAGGCTTTGCTCAGGTCTTCATTTAATTTCCACAGAATTATGTTTCACTTAAGGAACGCTCTACAGTGGGAGAATCTGATTTACAATCTTTACCAAGATCTATAGGTTTATAGCTGCTTATCAGCTTGGAGATCAGCCTGCTGTCTGTGAGTAATAAATACAGTGTTCTCGCTTTTCTGAAGGAGCTGTATGAAAGGTTGTGAGTCTTCCATAACCTGGGTGTGCCCAGGTATGCAAATTGCTGAGTTGTTTCTGATGTCATCTGTTTATATACTTTTTATATCAGAGGTTTTTGCTCGCTTGCCATACGTGGAGAGTTACTGATGTCATCTGATAACAGACAGTAAGATTTCCCTGAGCACATGTAGGGACTATAAGGATTTACATCAGCAATTTAAAACTAAGAGCAAAAGGCATTACTTCTTAAGGAGGACTTTTCAGGTCGTTGGAGAGCTGCGTGCGGGCTGTGGGAATGCTCAATTGCTGTTTGGAGCCAGCTCTGGGACTTGTGACAAGGTTAGTGGTGGTGGACACAAACCTGCCCATGGATGGCTCTTTTCCTTCTTCCCCACCGAGTGTGTTGCTGTTCGTCGTTCATCCCTGGCGAAGCAGAGGTTTTAGTAAAGGATTTACCTTTCCTGAAAGGCAGATTGCTGAGCTAATGGTGCACACAAACACCCCAAGAGTAGAGCACACACTGGAAAGGGTAATGGGGGAGTGTGACCACAACCCAAACAAACAAATACCCTGTGGTCAGACTCCATACTTGGTACGTTGGTACCAGGGGAGTTGCAAGTGCTCAAAATCCAATAACCTGATCTCTTCTCTGGCCATTAAATTAATTTATTTTTAAATTGCAATTGGTCTACCATTCAGTTTGGGGTGTATAATGGCAGCCAGTTTTTAAGAGAGCTGCCATTTCCCATCCTCTGGAAACCAGTCTGCTTTACACTGCCCTCCTGTCCTTCCCACATTCTCTCCCGCAGGTGTTGGTGGCTTGCAGGCAGGGACCTGGACAGGCTGGAGAGGTGGGCCCAGGTGAACCTCATGAGGTTCAACAAGAGCAAATGCAAGGTTCTGCACCTGGGCCGGAACAATCCTCACCACCAATACAAACTAGGGGGTGAGGTATTGGAAAGCAGCCCTGAGGAAAGGGACTTGGGGGTGCTGGTGGATGAGAAGCTGGACATGAGCAGGCAGTGGGCAGTTGCAGCCCAGAAGGCCAATCCCATCCTGGGCTGCATCAAAAGATGCGTTGCCAGCAGGTCCAGAGAGGGGATTCTGCCACTTTGCTCTGGTGAGACCTCACCTGGAGTATTGTGTGCAGGTCTGGAGCCCTCAATATAAGAAGGACATGGACCTGATGGAGAGGGTCCAGAGGAGGGCCACAAGGATGATCAGGGGGAAGGAGCACCTCTGCTACGAAGACAGGCTGAGGGAGCTGGGGTTGTTCAGCCTGGAGAAGAGGAGGCTCCGGGGAGACCTAATAGCGGCCTTCCAGTACCTGAAGGGAGCCTACAGGAAGGCTGGGGAGAGCCTGTTTAGAAAGGCCTGTAGTGACAGGACAGGGGGAAATGGCTTGAAGCTGGAGGGGAACAGATTTAGATTGGAGATTAGGAGAAAGTTCTTTACTGTGAGGGTGGTGGAGCACTGGAACAGGTTGCCCAGGGAGGTGGTTGAGGCCCCTTCCCTGGAGATATTCAAGGTGAGGCTCGACGAGGCCCTGGGCAACCTGTTCTAGTTGGGGGTGTCCCTGCTGACTGCGGGGAGGTCGGACTAGATGACCTTTGGAGGTCCCTTCCGGCCTGGGCAATTCTATGATTCTATGACTTCTGGCCAGAGAGGTCCTGCCTAGGCTGAGGCTGAACATCAGTTTCTGATCTGCTGGGAAAGGGCACGAATTTCAACAGTGTGAGACCTTTTACTTGTAACCTTATAAACGGGGTGAGTTCGGAAGCCATCCAGCCTTTCTAGCCATTGTTTGCACCAGGTGTAGAGCTGACAGCTGGAGGCTGTAGCTGCTTCAGCTTTTTTCAATTAATCCCTTATTACCTCTGAGTTAACACCCCTGCTGTCTCTGGCATTTTATGGGTGTTTGTTTGTCAGCTCAAACAGACCTACATGAGATGGCAAAACACTTCAGTCCAGCAGTTCTCAGAGGGTTTAATTGATTCTGATACCACAGGAAAACTGATGACATGGAGAATGAAGTTCTGACATGAACAGTTCAAAAAT